TCCCTCAAACTGATTAGGGTTTAGGATTTTGAACATTTGAAATTTTCAAGTGTTACTTTGCATTAAGATTTAGAGTCATCCATTAGAAGACATAAGGTAATCCCTAACATATTGGCACTAGTTGAGTTGACCAGTTTGACTTGTAGACTTTCTTGACTTTGACTTGACCAGAAAGTAACGGTTGTCACAGCAGCACTCGTGTATGCTAGCCGTAAATAACACTGGACTCTACAGACAGTTGAATATCTGATCCTACCCTAAGCCCTTCATAAAAAAAGAACAGAAAATAAGGCCAGACCAAACATTCTTAAGCTATAAAATCTTAGTTATGCATGACCATGATGCATACACTAAGCAACAACAGTAATGATGTCAATTTCATTAGAAAAGAATCCTTCAAGCATCATATAATCAGACAATTCTATCATGCAAAATCCTGAAGATCCCTAGCCTATCGCTAACATTCTGTTCTAACATATCATAATATCAAATAACAGTATGGTATTTTGGTGTGTACTTACTGGCTCCGGCTAATCGTACACATCGCATCCTCCTTGACTATTTTGAAAACCATTTTAAAAAAAAAATTATTTTAATAATCTTTTTCCTTGGTTTGAGACTGGATTCACACGAGTGTTCCTCCAATTCACTCAAACCAAGGCTCTCATACCAACTTGTAACATCTATAAAATTTCATAAAAATTTAAACTATTTCAAACCAACCAAAAAAAATCATAATTGTTTACATTGTAGTTTTCAAAATATGTTTAACATAAGAGTTTTCCCAAAATCACAAAACACAACATGAGGAGGTGCACGATCAAGCCTTTTCCTTCCCACGATCATCTGAGGTACCTGAAACATAACCCAAAAGTGTAATCCCAAAGCTTAGTGAGTTCCCCCAAAATACCAATACACAAACAAATAGCACAAATATAATAACAGCATGCAATGGGTCTACAACTAACAAAATAGATTTCCCCTGAGCCCACAACATAAGTCTGGCTTGCCCTTGGCCCACAGCTTATGGCTGGCTTGCTCCCCGGTCTGATCAATCCTCAGACTGCATACCACTAAGCCTTCAGTACGAGTCTGGCATGCCCTTCCCGACCCTCAACTCCCATCTGGAATACTCATGAGCCCTCAGTATGAGTCTGGCATGCCCTTCTCGGCCCTCAGCTCATATCTGGCTTGCTCCAAGATTTGTTGGCTACAACACGCAGCAGTAAAACCTCAACCCAACCCACACAATATGTCGACATATAACAGATAATAT